CAAGAGCACTCATGAATGTTTGTAGCAAACTTTTGCAATGTCTAACACCTTAGACAATCTTACAAAAAAAAACCCCATTCATGACAGTCTACTTTCATAACCTACTTCCAAAGTATGATCGACTGTGGATAGTTTGAATAATCTTATTATTCTAGAAGTTAAAACATGCAAAAAGTGAAACAATAGTAAATAATTCAAAGAAGATAGTATATTTACTTATAAATAAAAATCCTTTTATTTAATCATCAAATATCAATTACATTTTAGCTATTTCAAATTTCTAAAGGTCTATCTAATCATTATAACTAATATCATCCTTCAGCCCGATACTCCTAGTGTGCTTCAAGTGCTTAACCCTACTTAGTCCCTTTGTAAGGGGATCTGTTGGGTTCTCCTGTAACGATACCTCCTTCATTACGAGGAGTCCTTCTTCTACTGGATGCATTATGAAGTGATATTTTCTATTAATGTGCCTGGATCTGCCATGATCCATTGGTTCCTTGGCTACGGAGACCACACACTCGTAGTCATGGAAAATCTCCATAGGTTCATTTATAGCTGGTACGACTCCAAGGTCTCTGATGAGGTTCTTTAGCCATATTGCCTCCTTCGACACTTCTCTTTTTGCTATGTATTCTGATTCGCACAATGAATCAGCTACAGTCTCCTGTTTGGAAATTTTCCAAGGTACTGCTCCTCCGTTTAAGGTAAATACCCAACCCGACTGAGAGAGGAAATTATTAATGTCGGTCTGAAAGCTATCATCATTATACCCTGTGACTCTCAAGTCATCACTCCTACCGAGGGTAAGGACCCAGTCCTTAGTCCTCCACAGGCACTTAAGAATGTTCTATACTGCAGTCCAATGAGCTTTACCAGGGTTCCCTTGATATCTACTAACCATGCTCAAAGCTAAGGCTACATCAGGGTGAGTACATGTCATAGCATACATGATCAAGCAAACTATAGAAGCATATGGTATTCGACTCATTTCTGCTATCTTAGCATAGGTACTCGGACTATGAGTCTTACTCGGTTTAGTATTGCTCTAGATAGGCAATTCTCCTTTCTTGGAATCCTCAATGTTAAAACATTTCAACACTTTGTCTAAGTAGGTACTTTGACTAAGTCCTAATAGTATTTTACGCGTATTTCTCAATGTCGTTATCCTTAGAATGTAAGCAGCTTCCCCAAGGTCCTTCATAGTGAAACACTTTCCAAGCTAGGACTTAACCTCCTGAAAGGTTAGAATATCGTTTCCTATGAGTAGTGTATGTCATCTACATACAATACCTGAAAGATAACTATACTACCACTAGCATTGACATATACACACGACTCATCCTTGCTTCTCGAAAAACCAAAGGCACCACCGTAAATTTTCAAGTAGAACTATCATTTAAAATCTCGTAGTTCTCATAACACATATTTCAAAAATCTCTTGTACTTAATTTGTAAAACACAAGTCCATGATTGTTTATATAATACTCCAGGATCCTCAAAGCATAACACTTTCTTTGGTGTGTACAATCAAGCTGGTGCCGTCTCGTGATCCTGAGAAAAACCTGAAACACATATCACATAACACGGTAAGCAAAAGGCTTAGTGAGTTCCCCAAAATACTACACACATATAATTAGCCACTCGAGGCTACAGCTCTGAAACACCCTTTGGTTAATGTATCGCAGTGGGACCCTCCAACCCCATAACTCTGATGGACCCTCCGGTCCTATCTATATGGACCCTCCGGTCACTACTAGAAAAACAATATTTTACGACGCACAATGCATGTCGTTAAATGCTCAGACAACGTTCAAATGTGTGTCAAGGAAGGCCCTTTCATAACGAGAGACGACACGCTTTTGCGCGTCGTCTATAGACGACGCGCATTTACAACACGCAGTTACGACATGCGATTTACGACGCACATTTACGACATCTAATGCGTATCAAGGAAGGCCCTGCCATAAAGGAAGACGACGCGCATTTGTGTTTCGTAACCTTACGACGCACATTTACGACTCGCATCGCGTATCATTAAAGCCCCTGTCAAGAAAGGCCATGTCATAAATGAAGATGATACATATTTTTGCGTATCGTAATTTGATATGTTTAAAAAAATATATTATTTATAGATTTACTAATTTTCAAATTAAATTTGCATTTAATGTCTCATAATAAATAAAATATCATATACAAAAATACAATCCATTGCATAAAATTTAATGTCATACAAATAATCGTTCCATGGAAAGATTACACAAATCAATAAAAGTTGTAACGGAAATTTACAAACTAGTTAGATACAAGAAATATGAAAAACTTGAAATCCCTAAGATTAATAGTTCTAACAAAAGCTTCACGTGAAATACATACAGTTGGACTAGTAAGCAAGGATGTTCCCGAATCCACAATAGTAGCACAAGAACACGTACACGATATCTTCTGCAAGAAGGTGCCGGTCCAAAACTACTGTTGAAGATTGTCATGATAGCTGTTAAGATTTAAGCATAACAATAAACCAATCAGTAACTATAATAAGCTAGAAAAAAAAACAACTAATAAACAAAATAAGCAACTAATTAAGTACAACTATGACTATGTATTGTTCATATAAGAAAAAGAAGGGAAAAAATGTTGATTTATTGTTGTACATACAACACTCTCCAGACACCACTCAATTGAAAAAAAAAGAATAAGGGTAAACTTACAAGAAAAATAAGGAAAAAAAATAGTTTTGAGTGTAAATTTCAAGATAAAGTCACCTGCACCCAGTATAAATTTCAACAAACAGCTTTTGAATGACAAAGATCAGGTACCTCTTGATTAGCACGTGCATGGTCTCACATTGGAAATAATAACAAATTCATTGCTCCACCCATAAACACCAATAACTTGAACATTTTTCAGTTGCAACTCTACCCCCTGGAAATAATGTAATAAAATGACTATTAATTTATGTCGGATAAGAATAAAGTTGAAGTTCACCTCATTTAATGAAAGAATATGCATACAAATTGGTAGCAAACAAGTAAATAAATGAAGAAAGTAGAAGTATATGTGAGCATGGACATGGATGGTACTTGCAAGTTCAGGGTGGCCTTGTCTTATCCAGATATCTGTTCAACTTCATCTATCAAGCATCATATGAATATGAAGAAAAAAATGTATGAAATTCACTCATTAAGTGTAAAGAGGAAAGTAAGATATGTTACCCCAAATCTCAAGGTTTAATTGTCAAGGGTGACAAGCCCAGTGAAAAGCCTGACAACATAATCAACAATCTCCTCTGTTTCATATTCTGAAAACGCAAAGCCTTTTGGTTTATCAGTTTCTTTATCTTGAGGAATGTGCAAATCAACTACACAACCAACTTGAATAAGTATAATGTATAAAACCCTATCGCTTACTCGCTCATCTAAATTACATGTATAAAAAATAAAAATAAAAACATCAGTCATAACAATATAATGAAATAATTCGGGAGATTTAACCGACCAACAATCATCTTTCATCCAAAAGTATAAAGAGTTATAGAAAAAAGGGAACCAGATCATGTCATAGAACAAGAATTCAGTAAGAAGACAAGTTTGAAAGCATACAGAATAAAGTTTAGCCAATCAAGATTGATCTACTTGTAAACTTGAAAATGCAAAACTCTGATTCTCAATCATACATTTAAGAATTTTACATGCTCCGAAGATTTTTAAGAAACTGAATTTCCAGTCCAAAAATCAATTAACCAAAAATAATTGTAATACAAACAATTACGCTAATAATCCCGATTGTTGGGACTGGTATTTAGAATCCCACACAAAATGCAATCAAATGAGTCGTCTAATGGTCAAAATGTAGAAACTATATTAAGGTAGATTTGAAAGTTATCAATATAAACAATGCTTTTTGTTATCTAATCAAGCTTATTCTTAACCATCTCCACATGCAATCTCCGACTCTGCCTTTTTAATTGCAGGTGCTAGCTTATTCTTTACCACCTCCACACATATACCAAGACCAGTAACCTGAAAATAGATAATTTTCTTTTTATTATTATCATTATCATTATAATAAAAAAATATTATTATTTTAAACCTTTTCGTGAGTCTTGAGCAATCATTTTCTAGCAATTCCCATTGTCTATCCTTACCAACTATGCACGATTAATCAATGTCCTTTGGATGTTATAAAAGAAGAAAGAGAATGAACTAAACTTTGATAGACCACCAACTTTCTGTGTACAGACTCCATTCCATTTGTCTTGATGGCTTATCCTGCTACCACTTTGTTCTCCATTAAGAAGTCTTAAAACCTGAATTTCCTAGTAACAAGGATTTAAATATAACAAAAACAATAAATTTACATGAAATATAAAGCTGTTTTGTGTACTAAATGGCTAAATGCATCATGTATTGCTACCACTTATGGGGTTAATAATTCAGTTCATAATAATCCACAAAAGGTAGTGTTTACATTTTGTTTCTTTATTATTTTTTTTACTTTAAGTTAGCTCACAATTTCAAATAAGAAAGTTGCATGAGTTTGATACATGAAAAAACTTATAAACTAAACCACTCATTTCATCCCTTATTTGCCTTTTACCTTAAAGAGGCTTGAGGAGACTTGGAGCATTTTACCACAACATCTATATTTTCAGTAAACTAAGAGGTGACAATGGAAAAAGGTTCATCATTTTTCTTCCTCAATATCGCCTTAAGCACACATATGGCTTTCACACAGACCTAAAAGAACAATGAAGCAAGATATGAAAGGATTTAAATGTGACAAACATATGAAACTAAATCTTGTATATGATAAAAAACACACCAATCAAATACCTGCCACATATAAGATTGGAGTTTGGCTTCTAGAGCATGACTTAAAGCTATTGCATTCAATTTTGAGGCCTCCATTAAGAACACCTAAATGACATCATGAGTAGGTTGAAGGCGAACACCACCAGATGTTACAATGGTCTCTAATAACCTCTCTTCACAACTCTTTTAATTCGAATAACTTGAGCTTGCATTCCCATTTTCAGTATCTACTTGACTTGTGTTTAGATCTTGACCCCAAGATCCAGATGCATTTGTTGATGACCTAGAAGAAAGTGCAGCATGACTAGAAAGTTCTTCGCTATCAGAGTAACTCGATTCATTAGTCAATGATATTCTCAAATTAGGATCCTTGTAAGTTCCTGTGTCATTTTTATTATGACTTTGAGCTTGTGATAAGCTATTTAACCCTTGATTGATTGTTGCACTTCCAATGCCAACCATATCACTAAGAAATGACTTCTTATCATCAGATGGAACATCAAAGTTTGTGTTTCCAAAACCTTTTATACGTTGTGTAAGACCTTCTTGTGGTAGTGGTTTACTGTTGTCATCTCCAACAAATATAGCTGATAAAGCTTCTAGAGTGGTTTCTCTTACAGACTTATTAAGGGCATCACCCATCAATGGATCCAGTTGTCCCTTGTATTGAATTAGTTGACGAACAGGTACTGAGTTCCTTTGCATTTATTTATGTAGTGAGTAAAAACCTACTCTGATTCCAGCCACAACCTTTAGACCAATTGCAGGTTTGAGGTACATCAAATCCCGAAACTGTGAGATTGGATCATTATAGAAGTTTACTCGTTTTGCAAGGAGTTGAAGTTCTTCCACTCGGCTTAATACATCATTAGCCTTCATAGGAACACCAAAAAATCCAACAATGGCCCCTGATTTGATTAAACATCAAAAAAAATCATTTTTAAAGTTAACCACAATCCCATTTCTATTCATGTAATTGATAAGAAACTCTAATGGAATAGAATAGAGCAATTTAGGAAAGTAAGTTAACGTTAGGGTCCATAGTTCCTCCTTTAACTACTTCTCTGCAACCATCTAATAAAACATCAAAAAGCTCAACCTGTGCATCTACTAGAGTAGCTTCAGCAGACCTACCAACCTCTACAACTATCAACCTCATTTGGCTATCGTTTCCAAACATTAATTTCACCTATGATATATTAATTACTCATCTTTATTCACTTCAAAGGAATTAAATTAAATTAAATATGTAAATTATATATATATATATATATATATGTATATATATATATATATAGAGAGAGAGAGAGAGAGACTAACTGCACAAAAAATGTGTAGCATCTCTCTTTGGTAAGGTCCCATATGACCAGTTGCTCAAGATCATTAGTAAACTGCAATAGAAAATTAAAGATTGAGATAACAATAAGGAAGGTATTGGATCTGAGCAAAGATTATTCAAGAATAAGTTGGTTCTGAAACCTGGATGAGGCTGGAAAATAACATATTTGAATATCTTTAATTGCACACCATAAAATCTCTCTCTAGCTCCACCGTTGTTGGTGTAAAGGTGAAAAAACCCACGAAACCATCCTCTATTGTAGCATATTTGGCTGGTACTAATTTAATTTTGTGTCAATGAGGGCAGCAACTTAATGAACGAACCTCCAAGAAAACACAGTTTGGGTGAGAATCCAGAAAGCACCATATATCATTCTCAAAGTTCTTTTACCGGCTACTATTAATTTGAGAGAAGAAACAGGAAATAGACAATCCATGTTGAATAACTTACCTGAAGTGGATTTCAAGACTCTTTCCATGCCAAGTTTTGAGACTACATCTGAATTTTGCTACTGATTAATCGAATTGATCCCTGGGTTTTTGTTCCACCTGAAGGTGAAGTCTTTTGATACAAAATCGGAACCTACCTCCACTTCCATATTGGTTGAATCTTGGAAGAACCTGAAAACCGATTCACGATCGATTGTTAGAACGTGGGTGAAGGCGAAGGCCCTAGGGCTTCTTGTTGTAGGCTTTGGACGTGGGTGAAGAGGTTGGTGAAGGCGGAGGCCCTTGGGCTTCTTGTTGCTAATTCAAAGATCAACATCGATGGTAGAAGGTGGAGGCATCAGTAGAGGGAACAAGGTAAAAAGAAAGGAGATCGAACCATTTAGTGTGAGGGTTGATTTGGAAGAAATCTCAAACCATTAACCTTAAACATGATGTGAAACAATTGATCCATAATTTTCTTCGTCTACGTCAATTCCTTAGGTTCACATAATCAGACGATGGTGGTAAATGAAGCATTCTTCAAGAAGGAAGGTGCATCGCCACAGTTTGAGGCTAGACAAGGCAATGAGGATTGGAGGCAGTGGATGTGGATGAGGGGTGTAGACGAGGGAGAAGAAGGTGGGGGTTTAAAAAATTTGGGGATTTCATTTTCCATCAGAGATGCGCTTTTCGTAAAAAACAATATATAAAACGACATTCACAGAGGACGCTCAAGTGCCCTACGTGTTTTTAATATTTTTACATGCGACACTAATTTAAGGGAACGCAGTAATGCGTGACCTAAATCCTTAATTTTTTTTTGAAGAGATGACACTTTTTAATGTCACTCTCTTTTTCGTAACATAAATCACTGAGTGTCGTGATTTGCACATCGTAAAAGGGTATTTTTCTTGTAGTGGGTCCTAACTCTGTAAACTCCGAGTAATTGATAATGTCTATTTTATGCATATATTTATGATGTTTTCTTATTATTTTATACTATTTTATATGTTATTTAGAACTAAAAGATACTTAATATACTTTGAAATATTCAATTAGAGTAAAAATGGGAGTTGGAATGCAAAAGGAAGAGAATGGAGCTGAAAAGATGCAAAAAGGATATTGCTAGCAGATTGATCCCTCTTCAGTATTTCGGGTATATCTGATGACTCATAAGTCCAATTGACGAGATTCGAACTGTTCTGAAAACTAGACGAAATTTCCGACGACTTATATGAGATGGACTTTTGGCTAATTCGACGGTTATCTTATCCAAAATTGGCTTTGAAGATGAAGCATAAAAGTTGGACGAAAATTCCCTCCAAATTACTTATTCCCCAAGCATCACTTATCTTATTTTTATTTGCTTAATTCCTAAGCCACCATTAGTTTCCTTATTCCAATCCAACTCTAATATTCCATATAAATTCCATCTCCATCAACTATAAATACCCCATATCATTCCACCATTTTCATAATCTATGATATTCCACTTCGACTTGTGCAACAAGAAAACTTCATAGTTGCCGTTTTGAGGGTCTAGGAGGCGGCCAGAAGGTCGTTAAGCTAACGGGAGCAAAGATCAGAAGGATTAGAGAGTGGATACATGTCGGTAATCATGTGGTTTGTTAACGTGACCATGCTTAGCATTCCACTATGATAGTATTATGTGTTTACTTTCTGATTTAGGTGTAAAAACCTTTTACTTCGTGTTTATGATTGAATGAAACCTTGATTATTGGATTAATTGCTATTTTGGATTGTTTGTTTATTTTTAATTTATTTTGCCAAGTTTTTTAAAAGATCCATACGTGTTAATGATAATTATTTGCTGTTAATTGTCACGTAAATTGAGTTGTATGAACATCATCTTGATTGCTTGTCTCTTATGATTTTGATGACCATCAAGATTATATGTCTAGGAATAATGAATGTGAAACTAGGATTAACTTGGAAATAAGTAAGTTAATGTGTGAGCCTTGTGTCATAAACCATCAACAAGAAGTTAAATTGAATTAGTAATTTGATTAACTATTATTACAAGTCTTGCTTGATACGAACTGAACACTAGGAAGTATGTTAGTTTAATCAACTGATCACTGTTTGAATTGACTTGTTTGCTAAAGGATTAGTATTAGTGAACGCGAATCTAATCATTTTAGGAATCGGTGAACACGAATAAATGAATTTGTGTATGCAATTGTCTATGCTTTTAAGGTGTAATTTATCTAAACCAAAGTACCTGAAGAGATTTGTTTCCCTGTTAGTTTATCGAGATATGTTAATTAATTGTTCGTTTGAGATTCAATAAACCATTTCTTTACTGCTTTTGTGTGTTTTGTAACTTATAATCAAATATTTTAAATTAATTCACTACCGTTCCCCTTGTGTTCGACACCCTTGCTTATCAAAGCTATATTATATTCGATCGGGTTCACTGCTTGTAAGGTGTGATTTAGATGCGATAAATTAGGAATTATAAATAAAAAACTAGTGCATGAAAAATTCACATCAGTCATACACAACATAAATAAAAAAGAAATAATGCAGGATATCATGATACACAAATAAGCACATAAGAAATCTCTATCACACAAAATACCACTCATGGTAAGGTATAGTAAGAACACTCACCTCGTAGTTAGTAAGGAATAGACACGCACTTGATAAACTCGGACTAGCTTCACCTAACATATTAAACAAGTATCTCAATCAATATTTCTCTCTTTCTCTTTTACACCCAAAGGCCCTCTTATTCATTCTCTAACCCCGGGGATGGGTAAAAGACCATTTTACCCCTCCATGGTCCCAAATGGCCCACTCATGAAGTCAACAGAAGTCAAAATGAGTCAACAGTCCAATTCGATCAGACTCGCCGAGTGCACCCATGTGACTCGTTGAGTCCACTCGTATCTCAGATTTCTTCCTAGGGTTTACTAAGCTCGTTGAGTTGATCCCCAAACTCAACGAGTTATTACTAGGTCAATGGTACTGGGTCAGACCCGATCCGAATCGTCGAGTCATCCCATAGACTCGATGAGTTGTCTCAAACAGATCTGTCATTTGATCGACTGAGGTCAGATATGTAGCTCCAACTCATAGATCTCACCTCCTTGTACCCAAAAGTCACGTAAAGGTCTGATCTTGGTGTCCATGCATGGTATATATTGCTCTATATGCCATCAAAACTCCATTAATGCTTCCTAGCTTCAAAACTCCATCGTTGCTCAACCATGGCTTCGCACTTTCGGGCTCGCTAGACCTCACAAGGTCCGGATCTATAGCACACGCTCAAAAAGGGGGTTTGATGTACCTGAAGCCCGATCAAAAGGTGATACAAACCCTAATTCTCACAACCATGGAATCTAATCAATCAACAAAGAAGGTAAGAGCTTTATACCTAGATATGAAGCTTGAGATTAAAAAGAAACAGATCCACAAGCTCTCCTCCTTGATCCTTGAAGAACTTTTCTCTTCCTCTTAAGAAAATGGATTCAAATGAGACTCCTTCCCTCTATTGCTCACAATAAGCGCTAGGGTTATTTTGATGGGGTGAATGAACACTGATGGGGAAAATATTTAGGCTATAAGTGCCTTTAAATGGGCCCAGGCCCGAGAAAATTAGGGTTTCCATCAGCATCGCTGATTCGTCGAGTTGGCTCATCAACTCGTTAAGTCCACTCAATAATCCACGTCACGAGTCGCGACTCTACTCGATGACTTAAGACACCAACTCATCGAGTCCCTTCAGAATTCTTAAATTAAATAATTAAAATAATATACCTGGAAATTCGGATGTTACAATTCTCCCCCACTTGAATGAGATTTCATACTCGAAATCGCTATCTAGTATCACACAACTTAAAACCCAAGAAGTCTGGGAAGCACTACCCAAGAGTACTTCATGCCACTCAACTACCCTCCTCCAATGATACCTG